GCGTACACTCAAACGCCCCCGAGTTTTCCACAGTGGCTTGCATCAAGCAAGGTTGCAACAAGGCATGTAACTGGCTGCAGAATCTAAGAAGGCGATTTCCTCCTCGTATCCCCCCGTAATATGTTAGGCGGACCCCACCCAGTAATAGCGACTGTAAGGGATAGTGGTGATCATATTTGGGCCTCTGTATATTCCTCCTAGTATGCCACAATTTGCGGGTGGGAGCCAAACCCAGCCTCGAACCCTTTCACAAGCAAAAGACCAAAAAACCCACCTGAGTAGTGTTTTTTTGGTGGTTGAACCCAGTAAGATAATATTCCTTATATAAAGTACTATACCCCAAAAGGAGGATATGATCTTACTCTATATTGGGTACGATAGTATCCCCAAATAAAATACTACTCAAATAACCTCTATATGATCCCAGTATCCATTTCATTTTCCGATTTCTTTTCCATTTGATTCTCCATTATAGGGCCCTAAACCCTAAGCCCTAAACCCTAAACCCTAAACTCACCTAATTTGGCAGGTTCCGGCCTCCATGTCTGATTCCACGTAGCGAGGGGGTCGGTCCTTCTACGGGAAGACACAGTACTTGGAGGGTCAGGGGGACGTAGTTAGTAAGGTTTAGGGTTTAGGGTTTAGGGTTTAGGGTTTAGGGTAAAACTACACTTATAAACCCTATAACCTAAATAATAACCGCAGCTATCCCGTTCCGTAACCTACTTATTAAGTCCCCTGTGCCCTCCAAGTAACATGTGCTAGGATACAGTGATATATGATGCTACAGTACTAAGTGGTAGTATACGCTACGAAACAGTGCTTTGCTATACAATTTACACATCTTGCTGCATGTTGCTATACAACCCTAAGACCTCAACCCTAAAGTATTGCGGACAGGTCGTGTGAACCCTAGACCCTAAACCCCTAGGCTCTAAACCGCGTTCCTCCCCGCCTCCTCTGGCAGAAGGGACCGCAACCATTCAAAGAGGTGGAAGCAAGCCTGTGGGATAGGCTGTCAAGGCTTCCACCATGATATACTTTGGGTACTGCCCCCCGCCAGTAACAGTCTATATTACGGGTCCTATTAAGGGCTATATATATATATATATCCATTTTATATTGATTATCCAACTGTTACTGAGGGGGGGCAGTACTAGGGTTTAGGGTTGAGGGTTTAGGGTTTAGGGCTTAGGATTTAGGGTTCAGGGTCTGGGGTTTAGGGTTAGGGTTTAGGGTATTATATACTAATATATAGGACTATGTACTAGTTCGTAGAAACATCTAGTACTATAGGCTAAACATTGACAGTACTAAATGGGCTTGTGCGGAATAAGGGTGTGCGCCACGGGAAGTTGGGTTGGGGGTATGTTTTGGGTATGTTTCAGGGTATGTTTCCAGGGTATGTTTGGGGGCGTGTTTCGGGGCATGTTTCGGAAGCTTTAATAGCAAATTACTTTTGGTGCGGGTGCCTGTTTGGGGTATGTTTCAGGGGGTATGTTTCTGGGGTATGTTTCGTCCAACCGAACTTCCGCTCTCCTCATACGCCCGCGCCCCCATAAAATCGCACACGCCCAAATAACAATGAAAGGAAGGGTACGTTTCCATCGGCGCAGCGCCTGGCTGCACTTCAGCACGTCATACGAGTTCATCGGGGTCCTGGCGCTTTCTGCAGGCACGGGGAAGCTGGGTAGGTATATTGCAAAACAGCAGGGCCTTATGGAGAGGGGGATATAGGCCATGACCTAGTGACAGCTACCCCATATAACCCTATACCCCAAATACCCTATAGGATTTACATATATATATATATACATACCCTAAACTCTTAAACCCTTTTTCCTGCCCAGCGACAAAGATCTTCAGTGTCCCTAAACCCTAAACCCTGAGCCAGGTTAGGGTGTCCTGGCAGAGTATTTCTCAGTCTTTGGATCGTACTTCTGCCACTCCAGACCTGTCTAGGGTTTAGGGGTTTGCAGGTTTGAGGTTCAGCGTTAAGGGTTTTGGGCTTTGGGTTGGGGGTGCGAGGTTTAGGGCTAAGCGTTCAAGACGTAGGGCCTTGGGCTTAGAATCAGGTTAAGGGTTTAGGGTCAAGGGTTCATGTAGGGTTTGAGGTTAAGGGTTCACTGCTGCTGTCTGCTCCAGCATTTGGGTCTTCCCTCAGGCAATACAGTAACATACGGTGATACATAGTAGTGTAAGCACTGTATATGAGAAAACATAAAATCAAGAAAAAAAACTAGTAACATATACCAAAGTATAGTACTAGCTGGTAATACATACTAATATGCAATGATATGTAATACCTGCAGAAACTGCAGGAAAATGTTGGACTAAATGGGACCCTTGTTGACATGAGTTTAGGGAAAATCCGCATGTGAGTAGCGTTTTGTGGTGGTTGAACCCGGTAAAATTATTTTTTTTAAAGGTGCTATACCCCAAAGAAGGATATAATCTTACTCTATATTGGGGTATATAGCATCCCCATATAAAACAATCGAACCTGAAACCCTAAACCACATGCTAGAACTAGACCCTACACCCTTAACCCTAAACCCTAAAAACATAACCCTAACCCTAAACCCTAAACCCCTAACCCTAGAACCCTAAACCTTGAAACCCTACCCTGAACTCACCTCTGAGCATCCTGCTTCCCGTCAGCCTCGCTTGGAAGAGCTCCCGCTGGGTGCCCGAAAGGCATGCCAAAGTGCGAGCCTGCATTTAGGGTTTAGGGTTTAGGGGGTTTTGAGTTTGGGGGTTTAAGGTTTAAGGTTTAGGGTTTAGGGGGCTTAATATGAGGGTTGTATAGGAATTATATCGAGGTTGCAAAGGGATAATGGAAAAGAAAATGGAAAATCCGGCGAATATCTTCTTGAGGGTTTGGAGTTTAGGGTTTAAGGTTTAGGGTCTGAGGGTTGAGGGTATAAGGCTGAGGGTTTAAGGGTTTAGGGTTTGAGGGTTGAAGGTTGGAGGGTTTGAGGGTTTAGGGTTTAGGATTGGGGTTGGGGATTTAGGGTCACAGCGGAAAAGGAGCGCCCCCCCATAATTTCAGGAGACCCCCATATCCCTCAACCTTAGACCCTAAACACGAGTTTCCGTTTCTTTTTCGAGTATCTCCATGAAACCCCAATATCACCCCAATGTTTGGGGTTTAGGGTTCATAAAGGACACTCTCGCTTCAAGATTCGAAGTTCCACGAACTCTTCTGTTGATGCCCTTCTGCCTTCGCAGTCTCACAAGGTCTATTCACACGGGTGTAATACTTCGCAGCTCCCTTTGGGAGCTGGAGCTGAAAATGGCCGAAATAGCAAGAGGCAGCCATAGGGAAGCCTCAGTTCATAATCATGGCGTGGGTGCCTCAGACAGCCCAGCCCGAAGCCAGGTAGGCATATCATGAAAACACGAGTGTCATTTAAGATAGGGGCTCTAGAGAGATGTAGGCTATAACATCGTTAGTTCTACCCTGAGCGTCTCCCTACCTAGGCCTTACTGGGTTGCTGTTAGGAAGCTTAAATTAAGTTACCATAATGGGTACATATACATAGTAATCAACAGGCTTTCCCAGTACAGTAACTTAAACTAGGTTCCTTAACAGCAACAGCTTAGGAAGCATTAGCTTCAAGCGACTGCAGCCATGTTGGCCAGCAGGAACGCATGGAATTGGCACTGGGGCTGTGGTGATCTTCACCTGCCCAAAGCCCTTGGCGGCTCAGGATTCCTGAGCGCAGAAGCAAAAGGTTAAGGGTTTAGGGTTAAGGTGTTTAAGTGTTTAGGATTTGGGGTTGAGGGTTTGGAGTTTAGGGTTGAGGGTTTAGGGTTGAGAGTTGAGGGTTCAGAGCTTAGGGTTGGGGGGTTGTCAAAGTTTTGGCTACTTTTTGGGTTACTAGTAGAATAAGGGGCACCCAAAAAAGGGACCAACCCAAAACTCTTAACCCCAAACCCTGAACCCAAACCCTTAAACCCTTAAACCCTAAACCCTAAACCCTCAACCCAGAACCCTCAACCCAAAACCCTGAAGCCCTAACCGCGTGACTGTGGTGCCAGCAAGACTCAACTCCGAATCCATCGAGCTCTTCATCAAGCTCCTGATATGATTTAGGGTTCAGTTGGGTCCAAAAATTAAGGACCCCTTTTTGGGGGCCTCCGAAACGGAACCTCTAATATATCGGGGCATCCTAAGCCCCAGTATACAGGAGTATAGGAGCTCCTGGTCCCGCTCGTCCAGGTGGGCTGTGGCCACGGCACTGCTCACAACGGACGCGACCTTCGAACAGTTGGGGCGTTTGGGGCCAAGTTTGGCATGAGCCACTGCGACATCCAAAATTAGAAGTGCGGGCCTAGAAAATGGGCCCTTAGGCCTTTTAAGGTGATCTGAGGGACTCTTCAGGGTAAAGGAAGGGTATAAAGTACATATGTAAGGATCCCAGGGTGCCGGGCCCGTATCCCTGAACCCCAAACCCCAAGACCCTGAAACCCTAAACCGCTAAACCCTACGCCTCTAAACCCTGAACCTCTAAGCCTCTAAGCCTCTAAACTTAACCCCTAAACCCTAAACCCGAAAACCCAGGGGCCCATGGTTTCAACCTCAGACGACAGGAAATGTGTAGCGGCTACAACCCAATAACCCTAAACCCTAATCCCCTCTAGTAGTATCCATGTTCTTTTCCATTATCCCTATACAAACCCTGAACCACTCATCCCCTTAGTAGCTGAGCAGGGAGCCTCGTCTTCCAGGTCGAGACCTTGAGTCTCTAGGGATTAGGGCTTAGGATTTAGGGTTTAGGGTTAGGATTTACGGTTTGGGATTTGGGGATATCATCCCGATAATAGAGAATTCAATGGAGAAGCAAACTATGGAAAATGAAAGGGTTTAGGGTCAGGGTTTAAGCTTTAGGTTTTTGGGTTTCATGGAAATTGGGATTATACGGGAGGCCAAACATGACAAACAAATTCAATCCATGCGTGCTCTTCGGGCTTGATATAAAAATCAACTGTACTACACAGTCGTATAATCATACGTGTTCATATATGGAGAAAAACAACCCGGGGCAAACCGCACCCTCATAATCAGGCCGAGGTACTGGAAGTGCCACGACGGCCATCAAATTTGAGATGGTTCATAGAAAAGTCTGTCGCGTTTTTTTTTAGTTTTAGTTTGGGGGTTGCGCGAAACTGTGGTTTCGGCAAGATTTTGGGTGCCGGCTTTCTGGAGCACCTTCGAAGAATTTCGGCCTGAGATTGCAGGGGTTTGCTTTTGACGCGCTCGTGTCAGATTCGCGCTTTTCGCTTCAAGGCCTTGCCTGTCGCGAGCAAAAATTGGCGACGATTCTCAAATCGCCACTGCCGCTGCCGCGCACACCGCAGCAGCACTGGGCTTGGCTTGTTTCTTTTGACAGAGCGCAAACCATTGGGCACCCACGACTTGATCTGTTGCCACACAGCATCTGATTATGGTTTGGGCATAGATGCTCTGCTTACCGGATGCACTCGGAACACAAACGTTATTATGGTTTGGGCATGGATGTTGCGGTTACCGTATGCACTGGGAACACGAACGTTCTTATGGTTTGAGCATGGATGCTCTGGTTATTCGACGCACTTGGATCAAGACCGATATATCATGTTTTGGGCATGAATGCTCTGGTTAGCGTATGCTCTGGGAACACGAACATTATTCTGGTTTGGGCATGAATGCTCTGGTTATCGTATGCACTCGGAACACGAATGTTATTGTGGTTTGGGCATGGATGCTCTGGTTCCCGGATGCACTCGGAACACAAACGTTATTATCGCTTAGGCATGAATGCTCTTGTTACCGTATGCTCCGGGAACACGAACGTTATTATATTATGGTTTGAGCATGGATGCTCTGGTTACCGGATGCACTCGGAACACGAACTTTATTGTGGCTTGGGCATGGATGAGAGCACGAACGCTATAATGGTGTGGGCATGGATGCTCTGGGACCGTATGCTCTGGGAACACAAACGTTATTATGGTTCGCGCATGGATGCGCTGGTTATCGGACGCACCCGGAACACGAGCGTTATCATCCTCGCCCCACCCCCACCCCCCCCAAAGCAAAGTTCCGAAACCTCGCAAAACAGGGTACGGAAATCCCCCCGTCTGCAAAAACAACAATAGGTATGCTAAAAATCCACAGTAATATGATAAAGTCATATACACGAAAAAGAAAACCAAATTATAGATAGCAATAGATGGTGACATGTAGTAGAATATATGGTCCTATAGAGGAAGATGTAGTGATATGTAGATGTATAGAATAATGTAAAGTAGCGGTCAATACGTGTATATCCACACAGATAATCATACCCAAAATATGTATATGTATATTTGCAGCGTCGGTTATAGTACGGTGTCTAGTAATGACTCTTCGGCAGGTAAATACTTCTATATCGCATAATCTCTACTTATCTATTGTACTGTATCTTAATTCACAACAGCCCTAAATCCTAAGCCCTAAACCCCAAACCCTAAACCCTAAACCCCAAACCCTAAACCTTAAACCCTCAATTCTAGGCCAAGGCGCTGCTGCGCACGGAAGTTGCAGGGCTGATGCGCTCATCCTTCGAAGGCTGCCTTGGACTCAACGTCAAAAACGCAACCACCGGGTAAACCCACTCATGTAGGACTTCGGATTGAAGAGTTTTGTGTTTAGGGATTAGGGATGAAGGTTTAGGGATTCGAGTTCAGGATCTAGGGTTTGGGGATTTGGATTTTAGGGTTGATTCGGGTACTGCCCCTACCCTGTAACAGTCTATCTGTGTAGACTTTTAATATGAATATTATCCAACCGCTACGGAGTGGGGGCAGTACCCAAGGTATCATAGGTTGGGTGGTATGGCTATGGATTGCTACATGTTACGATATGTACTCATCTAAGTATTTGTTTCTTCATACGGCCATGTTTTACCATACAACATTACTATACCGTAATATATATATAGATTACTATATATTGTTCTATATTAGTACATATGAATGGATATGACCTGCGATGACTGGATAATACTGTATTCTACAAACTTTCTAAACCGAACCTCTAAAACCCTAAACCTTGCACCCTCAAACCCTAAACCCCTAAACCCTAAACTCCTAAACCCCTAAACCCCTAAACCCCTAAATCCCTAAATCCCGAAACCCTAAACCCTAAATCCTATCCTAAACCCCTAAATCCTAAACGCCTAACCCCTAAATCCTAAATCCCTAAATCCTAAACCCCTAAATCCCTAAATCCCTAAATCC